CCTCGTGGAGGGCGACGGGACCCGGCCGGTAAGCGGCGCGAAGGTCACCGTCCACTATGTGGGACGACTGGAGGAAAACGGCGAGGTCTTCGACAGCAGTCGCGAACGCGGGACGCCCTTTGAGTTTACCATCGGTAAGGAACAGGTGATTAAAGGTTGGGATAAGGGCGTGGCGACCATGCGAACTGGGGAGAAGGCGATATTGAAATGCCGGGCGGACTTCGCCTACGGGGCAGCAGGAAGCCCACCGAAGATCCCGCCGAACGCGACGCTGCTTTTTGAGGTGGAACTGCTCAGTTGGACCCGGGAGGAGGACATTTCTACCCTCAAAGACGGTACCCTGATGAAACGAACCCTCGTCGAGGGCATCGACTACGCGAATCCAGAGTTTGAGGCGGAACTATGCGCGGATGTGATTATTCATCTCGGTGCGTACGCTCCGGAGGACGCGAGTGAGCGAACGGCACTGTGGGAGCGAAAAGCCTGGACTTTCGTCCTCGGGGAGACGCCGCTGCCGCCGCTTTTGGAGGAGTGTCTTAAAAAGATGCGGAAGACAGAATCCGCGATCTTCCGTGTGGCTGCCATGCTCGTCCAGAAAGCCTTTCCCGAATTCAACATCCCTTCCGCGGAGGAGCGACAAAACGCTGACATCTCGTACGAAATAAAAATCCACGAGCTCACGACGATCACGACCTGGGGACTGCCCTCGCAGGAGAAGATCACGCAGGGGAATCTTCGCGTGGATAAGGGGAATGCGGCCTTTAAGGAGGGGGATCTCACCCTCGCGGAGCGTTTCTACCGTCGTGCAATGGAATTTCTGGGGGAATATTTCCCTCCCGAAGACGAGGGCGAGGTGGAATGGAACAAGGCTCGCGTTCGCGCAATGAACAATCTTTCACAAGTTTTGTTAAATGCGAGTAACTTCAATGAGGTGCTTGACCTTTGCAACAAGATTCTCCAAATTAATCCTTCCGAAAAGAAAGCACTCTTTCGCATGGCCAAGTCTCTCAATATTCGGCAGGAGTGGGATAAAGCCCTTGTAGCTTTAGATAAAATTCTTTACGAGGATCCCAACAACGCCGATGCCAAGGCTCTTCGGATGCAAGTTTCGACCGAAAAACGATCCTACAACCAGAAGCAGAGGTCGATGTTTAAGAAAATGTTCAACTAAGAACATGAAAGCAACGCTGCAATAATCAGAAAAGGCGCTATTCCCATTTATTACCCTACAGTTTCCGGACAGGTCAGTTCTCATTGGGAAGGTCTTATTAATATCATTCCATTATTATTACTATTTAATTCTAACCTAATTGCACAAATGAATTTTTCTTATATCTCTTATTTCTATCTCAAATATATTAATCTTGCTATTGAAGTAGATTTATCTGACTAAGTGCCCATTGCAACTTTTTTTAAAATTATACCCTTGTGATTTTCATTTCATTAGGGAAACAATATAACATGAAAAGAAAAATAGCAAATTCAGAGCACTTTTGAAGAATACTGAACAGTCACACAAAAAAAAAGAAGTAAAGAGGTGGTAATATATATATAGATATATTTATATGTGAAATTGGTTCAATTCTTTCCAGTATCTTCTCCCTTAGTTTGTGTATACTTTTCCATCCCAATAACGACACTTTGTTATGAATGCGTAACGAACTTCCTCCTCCCTTCAACATACCATTCTTTCACTTTCTTCCATTTTCGACTTCTCGTTACGATATACAACCCCCAACCATAGTAATCACACTACCCTAAACAAAACACAATAAATAAATAACTATATAGATAAATCGGTATTACCTTTTTAGCGTTCCCAACACCCCTCTTTTTTTCCCCCACAATGGCCTACGTTGACACCGAGGAAAAGCAGAAGAAGGAGGAAAAATGGCGCCTCAGCCGGCAGCAGATCATCCAGCACCAAAAGAAAAGCCTCCTCTTCACCCCGTTCAGCGTGGGCTGGGTCCCGAACACCGCCAGCGTGGCGGTGGTGGGGCAGTACCCCAATAACCACGGCGCCCTGAGCTTCTTCCGCCTGGACAAAGGGGAGCTCGACGAGGTGGTGGGGTTGCGGGTGGAGCACCCGCTGAAGTGCGGGACCTTCGGCCACGCCGGCCAAGACCCCGCGACCTTCGCCGTGGGGGACTTCGTCGGGGGGCTGCGGGTGATGGATGTGGAGCGGCTGGGCGAGCTCACGTCCGAGCGAGGGAAGGTGTGCGATTTATCCCCGGCCTCCACCTTCCACGCCCCGCACGCGCACGGGAGTATTATCAACGCGATCGACGGCGCGCGCGGGGTGGGCCCCCCGGAGATCGCGACGGGAAGTCGGGATGGGGGGGTACGGGTGTGGGATGCGCGGCAACCCGAGCGCCCGGTGGTTTCCCTCAACCCCGCCGACCCCGCGCGCGCGCGCGATTGTTGGACGGTGCGGCTGGGGAATGGCGTCGACCCCGACGAGCGTGTCCTTGCCGCCGGCTACGACAACGGCGATGTCAAACTTTTCGACCTCCGCACGCAGCGAATGGTGCATGAGATGAGCGTGAGCAATGGGGTCTGCGATCTGGAGTTCGACCGAGCGGATATCGAGATGAATAAGCTGATTATCTCTTGCTTAGAGGGACGGGTCCGGTGCTATGACCTTCGCACGCGGCACCCGAAGCTGGGCTTCGCCTATGTCGAGGAGCGGGTCTCCGATGGGACCGTCTGGTGCTCGCGGGCCTTACCGCAGAATCGGGAGGTGTTCATCAGCGGCGGTGGCGGCGATCTCACGCTTTGCCGGTATCAATACCCTCCCGAGCGATCCTTGAAAGATCAGGACGGCCTCACGAGAGGTGTCGCGGGCGCGGTGGAGGAGCTGAATAAGGCTAAAATAGGGGATCAACCGATTAACGCAATAGATTGGAATCGAAGTAAAGAAGGGCTGCTGGCTTGCACGTCGTTTGACCAAAGCCTGCGGATCGTACTCGTTTCAAAGTTATCGTTGTTATCCTAAAAGAAAAAAATGTGAAAAAATATTATTATTATTATTATTATTCAGATGATGAGCGTGTGAGGTGCGTATCCCCCATCACCCCGGAGCTTCTTTGACATGTTCCGCTCTCTTAATCATGGCACCGGTCGCTCTATTTAAAAAAAAAAATTGGATGTTTGAACACCGAATTGAAGATTAGTGGTTCAAATCTTTTCCTTTATCGTATACTATACAAGAGCAACAATGATACATATTCCTCGTATAAGAACAAATAGAAATATCTATACATATATATTTATATATATGTAGAAGAGAGGGGAGGGATGTGCTTGTTCCACCCTTTCACGCCTTCATGTGCGCAGTTCGGGTTCTACTTTTCGATTTCATAGGTTTACCAATACCTGGATACTCTTTAACGCATTCCTCGTTCATTTTCTGACGCAAACTTTCCCTCAGGTAAAAAATCTAGTAAAAAAAATATAGTTTGACTATAGAAAATTGATAGCTTCTTCATAACTTAGCATCCATAACATTACCAAGCGGTGTGCCATAATATTCGAAACGATTCCTTTTCCCACATCCCTACACACACACGTTTCGCGATCCTAATAGTAACAACCCCTCCAAAAAAAAAATTTCCCAATACATCCTAAGGAACCCAAACGACCCTCCC